GTGAAATGAGTAATTTCTTTGATTTTTAAACAGTTTTAATAAAATACACATTTTAAAATGTATTAGTAGATTAGGATTGTCTAGAAGAATAATTGTAGGTAATAAAAAATAGAACAGATAAACTCCAATTTACAACAAACATACAAAACAGGAATGACTCATGGACTGCTTATTGATTGACTATATTCAGACACCCTGAATATATGTATTATTGGTATTTTATGGCTTTAATTAAGACAACTGTCTCTTATGAAGTGCTATAAAGTGCAATATTAAAAAATTAAAAACCCCAAAAGGCATCCATTGTCCTTCAGTTTTATCCTGATGAGAAGAATTAGAGATCCATTTCATTAAGTGGCAGAGTTATGTACCCTTAATTCATGCATGTAATTTCATCCTTAACATGATTTTATTCAGGGATTCAGACTTCTTTCCTTTTCTTTTTTTGGTGATATTATTTAAAACATTGATATTCTCTTTTGGTTAGTTGAGTGATTTAGAGAACTGTTAGTCCCAACACCTTAGTGGAAGGAATATGCAACCCAATATGTAAGAATGCAGCAACAAATTCTCATGCTTTTAGTGAGCCATTGTCCGTTTTCCTAGACCAGGAACCAATCAGTAACTTTACAATTCCTATTCAACCTACCGAACAGAGAAGTAAACACACTGCAATACAGGTTGATAAGAACAGGTCCAACCATTTCTCCAATTCCCTGTTTAAAATGAAAATATTAATTCCTCTTGGTAAATTATTGCAGATAAACACAGGCCTAGAGTTGAGGAATGATATATAATGGTGTCTCTCCCATTCTAAGTTCTTTGTGATTGTGAGATTATGACCTTGAAAACCATTTTGTGAACTCGACCTCACCAGGACCTACTTCATAATAAAGCTGTACCCAGTGTTCATTCTTTTCACTGGAAGATTAGTGCCTGCTGGCATTCATTGTTCTCAAGGCCTACTGGCTCTCTTAAAGCATTTTTACTACTCCAGTACTCTCTTGTGGTTGTGAATTCTGTCCACATGTTAGTAGCAATTAGAAGGGACTCTTTCCAAGAAGTAGTCAGTTACACAAAACACAAGTTGTTGGAGGCAGGGGCCTAATGCTTGGAATATTCACATTAATGGGGAGTTGGAGAAAATGCTCTTTAAACTTGCCAAGAACAAGTAAACTGTGGAGGTTAGGGGTGAGAATCTTGCAGGGGACTAAGCACTAGGTTGAACCTAGCCTTGAAAAGTGGAAGTGGGGTTAGAAACAAACCAACAGGTTCAATAATGTCAAATTGGAGAGTGGCTCATGGTTGGCGAGACTAACCTATGCAAACTCATTGGGACAGCTGAGAAATGCGTCGGCTTCATCCAAATGTCCTGGAAGAGCGATTCAGGGGTCATGGAGAACACAGGTTTATGTGATTAGCAACAGCGTGTGACTACTTAACAGGTAAGGGCAACTGAAGGATGCATAAAAAGGGAGTGAAGCATTAGGTTCGAGGCTGTAAGTCAGCACCGTTAGACTTTATACTTGTGTCACATTAGTCATAAAGGTGCATAATTTAAGAGCATTTAAAGTGGTGTAATAGAGAGAAATTGTAAAAGTTAAGGGGCTAAAAAAGAAAAATCCAAAGATAGTTTTGATGAAAATAGGTAAGGGGTCACATAGTGGGGACTTCTGACTATGTCAGCAGTGAAGAGTGATGTGTGCCCAGATACATCTATTTTCAGCCAAAAAAGAGAAAAATAGTGTGAGTCATCAGGGTTAACCTGGAGGGAAAGTTTTCACACTGGTCGTTGTTAAACACTGACTGGGTTACCAGGAATATTTCTGTTGGAGTCCCTTTTCTATAAGAGATGTCTTTTGGATTAGGCTGGTAGATCGAATAAACTCTCTTAATGGAATTAAATCTTTGGTGGGTGCCTTGGCCAAAACTCCATGGCACTCTTTCAGACTTAGGTATTTATTTGTTTTTAAAAAATTCTTTTAGGTTTTCTAGTCAATCAACCATTCAGTAAAATTGCTTTGGCTTAGATAATGTGGTATTCCATATAGTCTCTAGCTATCTGTACATTGATTTTGTAATTGCCTATTCCATCGTAATTGCAGGGTTGTTTTTGTTTCTCAAAACTAGCTACTGTGAATCTATTTGCCTTTTGTGGCTCTCTACCACTCTTTCTTGAGAAAACAATCACTAATCAGATTAAAGACTTCCGTAGTGTTCTGAGCAAGGCTGAGTGCCCACTGAGGATAGCATGGAAAATGGCAGTGTGTATATTGGTGAGGAGGCTACATGGAAAACACGTTACTTCTCTATATAGCAAACACAAGCATGCTTATCATTTCCATGGATGTCTACATTCTCCTGGTGATTCCACACCACAGCCTGTGCAGTTCAAAAGCTCCCAGTGAATGAAAAAAAATATTGTGACAGTGTCATAATAAGAAATGGATTGAGCTGGCTTTGAGTATTCCTTTATTGCTTTTCTTATTTGCTATGTATTTCAAAGACTATGAACCTGCAAGATTAAAAAAGAAACACAAACAGAGGCAGAGGAGCAGAAGGGTGGTTACCTTTCTCAAGGCCTTTTTGAAATGGAACTCCTTTTTAAACCTTAGGATTATGTGCGAACTGTTGTAACTGGTTTTAAAAGCCTGATATTTGTAACCATTTTAAAACAAGGATATATTTTGATGTGAGACTTGCTTTCTTGTGGATATTAGTAAAAGTAAATTGATTTTTTCCTTTCTTATTCTTAGTCATCTTTTTTTTTTTTTTAACTCTTGACAAGACCTCTACCAATTGACAATAATATTCTTGAGAGAGATATAGGGGTTGAGGGAGTATTTTTTAATGGTAAATGATGTAAGATCTGGCTCAGCAAGGAGTACTAGCTTCCACTGTACACTTTCAAGGGATAGTTGATTTCTCCAGAGTCACCCTGAGAATAGCTTCCCTTCATTTCTTTGGAACAGAGCTGCCACCTGTAATATGGCCATTTACCATACCAATCACTCCAGGAGTAAGGAAGGCTAACATCCACACAACTGTGTGCGTGTGTGTGTATGTGTGTGTTTGAATGTGAATGTGTGTATATTGTCAGATGTGGGGAATAAAGCACACTGGAATTTTCTACAACGCTTGCCAGCCAGGCCATCTGACCTGTGTCAGCTATTCCAATGCAGGAATTTGAGCATTTAACACAAGTCCCATCTTCAACTCTCTCTCTGACCAGCAGCTCTACCAGTTGTCATCTCCTTGGTCAGCTTTCTGTTACGATGACCTGGGAGTGGGGGGCTTCCCTTTATAGCTCCTCTATCTCACAGTTACAGAGTTATTTAGGAGCTGTGAGCAACGGTAGGGAGCTTGCCAATGCTCTCCTTGTCCAGGAATGGATATACATTAACATTATCAAATGTCTAATCAGCGAGGCAGCTGTGTTTTGCCGAAAGAGCTCCAAACCACCTGATTCATGTCTTCCCCATAAAATAAATGATAATAGCCCCTCTCAGGTGACACCTGCTAGAAGACTTATGAAGCATTTTCCCTGAATATCAATTAGTCCCTGCCTCTTTTTATAATCTTCTGGGCAAAGTTTTGTGATATTCTGCTGCATTGCTAAGTTGATAAACAACCTTCTCTCTCAGTCCCTCCTCAGGTACTCGGTTCTATCACTGCCTGACTCAATTTAGGTCCCAAGAAGCTGCATAAATGCTATCTAATCTCCACTTCAGTTCATCAGGAGATGGTCAGGTTCAGAGAGCTGCTGGACACGGTGTGGGCATTCTCAGGTGCAATTTAGAAGCTTATTTGGGAATTCTCAGTTTGAGCCAAGTTGTTCTGTCCTGGGGCTGCCTAGGGCTACAGGGAGCTGACAGCAAGTGAGACCTTGGTTTGCTGTGGGTAAATGGAACCATTTGGGTATAGCCTGTTTATTTTAAGTTGAGCAGTAAAATGTTGGCTCTTGAATGTTTGATATAATCTTATATCCTGCTTCAGGGAAGCAAAGAACTATCTATACTCTAACTTTTCCTCTACTTTCTGTTGTGTATTTTTTGCCTCCGTATTAGCCTATTAGCATATGGCTGACCTTTTTCGTAACGCTGTTATTATTTTGGTGGGGTGGGCAGAATGAGTGCCTCTGTGTATGTCCGCCTGTCTACGTGAACAAAACAGCCTCATGAGGCCTGGAAGCAACGTTCCCTTTGGTCGGTGTGCTTGACTGTCCTTTTCTTTGACTTTGGCAAACTCGATTATCCCTGTTTTATCCTGAATGTGACTGGGTCAGAGGTCATAATATTGGGTAATAAAGTGATATTGTATGTGTGCACATCAGTCTGGAAAAAATATTTATATATA